ATAAATAAATACATAAATACATAAATAAATAAAGGGACATCTATAATACTTTCAACAATAAAGATAAATTTAAAAGATAAATACAATAAAAACCCTCCAGCCACAACTGCCCTCCCCTGCCAGCCATCTTGGCCACCCATATGTGGACACAAGATGGCCGGTAGGGGAGGGCAGTTATATATTTTTTTTAACTTTTATCAAGCTCTATATGATTTTTACACATTTCCATATGTATATTACAGTTAAAAAAAATTTTCATATACGTGGTGGCATGTGGGGGAGTTCAGGTGGGACCACCAGATATTTATACATATCTGTGAACCCATCAGTGACAAGGGAAGTGATTTGTCACTAACGTGTCCAAGGTCACATAGGTGGTTAACAGTGGAACTAGGTAGGAATTTTTAGGTTTCCTGATTATCAGCTCTATGATTTCTTTTAGAAAATGATATGCATTTCATTCTTTTTAGGATAGTAACCAAGATATTGGCTACGGTAGCCTTGTTTAGTCTATATGCAAACTTTATGTACTGGAGAAATCAACAGTTCATTAGCATTTCCCAAACACAGGCAGGAATTCTTTTAAGGATTTGCATGTAAAGATAGATAACATCCCGCTCCCCTGAGATTTACCTTTAAAATAAATCATAACTTTTTCTGAGCTTGTTAAAAATGCATTTTCTATCACACACACACACGATAGACCCAACTTGTCTACTTCTGGGACAGTATGAAAGGATTTCAGTATAAGTAGATATATAATAAGTGGAACAAGTAAGATGTAAAATAGATGTTCGGAATGATCTCATTTCTATAATAACATATTAGAAATATATAATAGAAAAAAATAATTAGGATATTTACCAAAATGTTCATGTTGATTATATATAGAAAGGATTATAGATAACTTTATTTTTTTCTTAATTTTTTTGTTTGTTTATTTTCAACAATGAAATAAATTGTGTGATCAGGAAATAACTTTTTTAACTTAAAAAATGTAAGACATATCAAGCTTCCTGTTTAGATAGGCTCATGATGAAAATGATCTCTCAGCACTTTTCTATATCACTATAAACAGGATTTATTTCAGTGGCCATGTTTAAATAATGTTAGAATGATAATTAACTATTGAAATGCAAGTTTTCACCAGCTAAACATTTCAGTAATGTCCTGTTCCAGTAAGACATTTAATTTAAAGTTGCATAAGAATACAGCCTGGGAGTGGTATAGGTATCTACTGAAAAAAGTTACTTAAGTGTGTGACACAATATAAACCTCTATGAAAATTTTCCTGCAGGTATGCTGGCATCCTTCTGGGCATCACAAATACATTTGCCACTATCCCAGGAATGGTTGGGCCTGTCATTGCTAAAAGTCTGACCCCTGAGGTAAGGAGATAATCCTATATAATAGATGTAATAGCAAATTGACCATCACTCCAACACACAAGATAGCCGCCCCCATGTGGACACAAGATGGGCAGCAGGGGAAGGCAGTTGGGGGCAACCAGCCCTGCAGGGGAGGGAAAGTTGGGAACAACCAGGCCTGCAGGGGAGGGCAGTTGGGGGTGACCAGGCCTGCAGGGCGGGCAGTTGGGAGAGACCAGGCCTGAAAGGGAGGGCAGTTGGGGATGATCAGGCCAGCAGGGGAGGGCAGTTAGGAGTGACCAGGTTGGCAGGGGAGGGCAGTTTCGGGGAAGCACGCCTGCAAGGGAAGGCAATTGGGGGGGGGGGGGGGGGGGGACCCAGGCCTGCAGGAGAGGGCTGTTGGGGGGGATCTATGTTGTAACTCATTTATTATCATTGCTGGATAGTATTCCATATGCCTATAGTATATAAATAATTAAAAGTCAAAGTGTGTCTGAGGTTCAGGTTTTGAGTTTGTTTTTTTTAATATGTTTTTTATTGATTTTTTTGAGAGAGATAGAAACATCGATAGATATTAATGGATTTTTGTCTCATGTACTATTTGTTGAATCAGTTGCCTCACTCCCTACTAGGGATCAAGCCTGCAACCCAAACATGTGCCCCGACTGGAATTCGAACTGGCAACCTCTTGCTTCCTGGGTCAACACTCAACTGCTGAGCCACACCGGCTTGACTAAGATTCATTTTTATTACAAACAAAACAGCATTTTCTAAAAACTGGTGAAATTGTTGTTAAAAAGCCAACTAGGAGCTATGTGAAATTTCTGGTACAATTGATTGCTTTTAAGCCGCTCATTTCCTCCAAATAACACTAAGGTGTTATTTTATCCCATTAATGACACAGAGAAGCTTTGTCTTAGGAATCCTAAGAAGTTATCGTAAATATTTCTTTCTGGCATACAATGTAATTATTAACTGACTCCTCCTCTAGGGTGTCAACACACTATTGGCATATCTAAATATCTAAAATTTATGATGGATTTCTAAGATTCTTTTTATCAAAACACATTCATCTCAGATAAGTGTAACTTAACCACACAGTGCTCCTTTCTTCAGGTTTTTCCTTTTTTCTTCAGTAAATGACCTCATGCTAACTTTCTACTGCCTTTTCTTTTTCTCATTGCCAATTCTACTGGAGTGTGTGTGTGTATGTGTGTTTAGTGTTGCAAATGTTGCAGTCTGGTAAGACTGAAATTATAAAAATCCAAAAAATGATTGTTAAAGTTAGTCACATGACCCATAAATTTAGATGACTGCCAGATGTTTTTATACCAGTGATTGTACATTGAACAATTGTATTCTTTTATCTCTTACTGACAAATCCAGTGCATGTCCTGTTTTATGTGCCATTCAAGAGCCATGTGGAATCTTTCAGGCCAGGCCTCAAACTTGAAGGCTATTAATTCATCTTTACTTGGTCTGCTTCTGACCTTTCCACCTAAGAACTTGGGAGATGATATGCAGATATAATACTTGCCTAGTAATGTATGACTCAAGTACATGCCACACATCTCTAGTGAACATTTTATTGAAGTATAGCACGTATTTTTAAAATGCACAACCCTAAGTATACAAGGTAGAGCGGTGTAACCAGCACCCAAACAGAGCATTGCCTCCTTGCAAAGCCCCCAGGCACCCCCGCCACCAAGAGCACCCACTTTCCTGACTTTAACATCAAAGATTAGTTTTATCTGACTTTGAGCTTTATATAAATGCTCCATATGTATCTTTTTGGATCTCGCCTTTTTTAAAAAATATAGTTGTATTGATTTCAGAGAGGAAGGAGGTGGGGGGGGGAGAGAAAAAGAGAGAGAGAGAGAGAGAGAGAAAGAAAGAAACATCAGTGATGAGAGAATCACTGATTGGCTGCCTCCTGCATACCTCTGACTGGAGATCCATCCTACAACCCGGGCATGTGCCCTGACAGGGAATGGAACTACAACTTCCTGGTTCATAGGTAGACGCTCAACCACTGAGCCACACCAATTGGGCGTGTCTGGCTTCTTGTGCTTAGCATTTTTTTTTTAAATATATTTTATTGATTTTTTTTACAGAGAGGGATAGAGAGTTAGAAACATCGATGAGAGAGAAACATCGATTAGCTGCCTCTTGCACACCCCCCACTGGGGATGTGCCCGCAACCAAGGTTCATGCCCTTGACCGGAATCGAACCCGGACCTTTCAGTCCGCAGGCCGATGCTCTATCCACTGAGCCAAACCGGTTTCGGCTTGTGCTTAGCATTTTATTTGTTAGATGTATCTGTGTTGTAGCTCATTTATTCTCATTGCTGGATAGTATTTCATTGAACAAATACATATATCACAATCTCACTGCTGATGGACATTAAGGTTGTTTCTTTTATGAATAATGTTACTATTGTGTTGGTCTTGTGACCCCATCTTTTTTATAAAGTGAACAAGAAATTTTCATGTGCATTTGTTCTTTCTTTCTCTACAGAACACTATTAGGGAATGGCAAACTGTTTTCTGGATCGCTGCTGCTATTGATGTATTTGGTGCCATTTTCTTCACCCTCTTCGGTAAAGGTGAAGTGCAGAACTGGGCCCTCGATGATCACCATGGACACAGACACTGAAGGAACCAATAAATAACTGTCTCTACTCATGTATTTTTGCTTATCATGTACCCTAAAAGTGCCTTTGATATTTTAATATGTAAGCATTCTATATATAAGAAAAAAATGTATGTGTATTAAATTTTTAAGGCTTGTAATCATGAAATGTCACTAGGGGCCAGATTAGTAAAATGAGCTATTTTTAATTATTAGCAACCTGTATGCTGGAATTCATACTTCAGGGTCACATACCTGGCTGCAAGTCAGCAATATAAAGTAGGGGAATTCTATTTATTTTAAGGGCCATACTTAGGAATGAGCTAAAGTGGACTCTTCTATGCCCTTGCTTAATTAAACTAGATAATAAATCTCAGGTCTTGGTAAATACCAATTTTTATCCACTTTCTTCATAAAAGTTATTTGTCATCAGCAATCCCTGACACTTAGGTTGCAAACTTTAGCATCTTCATGGAGCTGCCAGCCTTTCCATGATTCAGACCGGCAGCTGGGCTGAGGGAAGCATGCCCAGGCAGCTGCCAAGCAGTCCCTTCCTCGGGTCAGGGACAGTGCCCAGCGTTTACCAGAGGCGGCAGCCAAGCCCAGGCTCAGGGCCAAGTCCTTGGATGGTGTTCTTCCCCCGGGGCTGTTACCGTGTAGATAAAGCCCCGAGGAGGCAGAGCATTGAGATCTGAGAGGCCACAATGGCTCTGAAGAATCCTCCCAGGAATGTTGATTGGCATGCAACCTGTGAGAGTAAAGCCTGATGCCCAATTAACCACAAATGCCATCCTTGATTAAAACTGCCTTTGAGTAGATCAGACTATAAATCCCAAGTCCTATGTTCTATGAGCTGCACCAGCTATGGTCCAAATGGAAAATCCTTGTTGCAGTTTAAGGTTAAAGTGACTTTTAAAGACCATGTCTCCTGAGACCAGTGATAATGTAAAGGTGAAAATCATCTTTCTGCTGATTTCCTGAAATCATATTTTTCCAGTTTATCCTGGGCCATCTTCCAGTGGATTTTGAAGATACTTTGAGGGCTTTTATGTGATTTAGAACTTAGTTTATGCTATATGTTTATTCAACACTACCTGGAACATTTTAGTATATGTGCTGCCGAAGCGAGCACATACCTGGAACATTTTAATAAAACTGCTTAATGTGTAATATGATGTGAATAATTTCTATAAATTTATTTTTAAATTTGTAAATAGCTTTAATTTGCAGTGGTGATATTTCTTTTATAAATCATCAAAATAAACCTTTTTTCACTTGATTTTTGGATCTGACAGTTCTGATACTTTCTAGTGTCCACAGTGGCTATTTTACACCTTTTCTGCTATATTCCTAAAGCCCCCCAATCTACCTCTGCTTGCATCTCTGCCACACAGATAGAGGCCAATTAAAATAGCAATCAAGCCCTAGCTGGTTTGGCTCAGTGGGTAGTGCGTCGGCTTATGGACTAAAGGGTCCCAGGTTCCATTCAGGTCAAGGGCACATGCCTGGGTTGTGGATTCAAACCCCAGTAGGGGACTTGCAGGAGGCAGCCAATTAATAATCTCTTCTCATCATGATGTTTCTATCTCTCCCTCTCCCCTCCTCTCTGAAATCAATAAAAATATATTTAAAAGTAAAATAAAATAGAAATTACTATTGCCATTGGCCTGCCCTTCCTAGCCCACCACTGAATCTATCCTGTCTTCCCTTCTCTAAGACCTTGCTTCAGTAATTCCTTTTTAATTGCTTCTTTAATCTCTACCTCTTCTTGGTCTTTTCCTTCTGTCTCAAAGACAATCTTCTCTAGCCTTTAAAAAACAAAAATTCAAACTCTCCTAGGGATATGTACATGCAGAATATCTTGAGAATCATTCTCAAACAGAATCAGTGGCTACCTCTGGAGAGAGAAAATATGCAGTCAGCAGTAAAAGGAGAATAAATTTTCACTTGGCCAAAAGTGGCAGTGGTATAACCCAGTGTTTCCCAACCTTCTCTCATGATGAGAATCACCTGGTGGAGTTGTTAAACCACAGATTCCCGGATCCCAACTAAGAAGTGCTAAACTAGAATTTTTGGGAACATATAGTTAAAATTGTATACTTAACTAGTGCTCTAAGACAGATTTTATATACAGAGCACTAAGTTAGGTATGCAATTTTACCTATATGTTCTCAAAAATTCTAGTTTAGCACTTCTTAGTTGGGATCCGGGAATCTGTGTTTTAACAACTCCACCAGGTGATTCTCATCATGAGAGAAGGTTGGGAAACACTGGAACCTATTCAAATACATCTTTTTTTCTTTTTTCTTTTTTTTTTTTAATCTGTTGCTCAAACTCCTACATAATCACTATCAGGTTTTCAACTTCCTGCTGGACATCTCCAACTGGCAATCTTCTCTGTACCTAAGACTTGTTTAAATCCAACCTCACTCCCTCATCGCCATCCCCAATAAAAGAGGCTGTTCCTGCCACTCTTTCCTGTTAAAAGTTTCATTTCCGCAGTCACTTAGGCTTGGACCCGAAGTTATTTATTCTTCCTCCTTTCTAGACCCCCACCCCCAGTCCTGTGTCTAATTAACCACCTGTCTTTTCCATTCCAGTTTTTCAAGTCTCTGGAAGTTTTTAATCCCTCTGCCATCTCTCCTAAATAAGATTCTTGTAGCTTTTGTTTCCACCGGGAATGGAAAAGTTAAGTGGCCTCATCGCCTTTTTAGTCAAATCCTTCTCTGCCCAGCTTCCCACCAGTGCTGGTTAATGCTCCCAATACTCATCTCCCTGACCGGGACTTCCCCAGCCTGAACCCGCAGCCTCCCTTGGCCTACACAATAAACCCCTCTTCTGAGCAGCCTCCGCGCTCATGCCTGTGCTCAAGCTCCTTCACCCCCACCTCCCACCACACCTTGTGACAGCTGCATCTGGCTACTTGACACTGCCCCATGGCTCTCCATTTCCCCTCCCCTTCCAGACCTTTTACTGAGTGTATTCCTTGGGCCTGAAAGGCTGATCTTCATTCCCACCTCCTTCACGACCCCTGATTTCTTCCACCCACCCTGATTTAGACGTAGTTTCTTCCTTTGATCTGATGAAACACTATATTTTTTCTTTATTTTAAACTCAAGGACTCGGGCTCAATTATGAGAAAGAATTCTATTCATTCATGCATTCAGTCATTCATGCATTCATTCACTCAAATGTCTGTCTACTCTGCCAGGCAACAAGGGCACCCAGAGATGCATTTGACATAGTCCTTTCCGTCCTCAGAGGCCTCCCTGGCACTCAGTCAGGCTCCTTGGCCCCCTTTCTCCTCCATAGTTTCTCTTTATAATGCATGTGCAGAAGAGACTGGGCCTTTAGTTTATCTCCCAACTAAAAGCCCTGTGCACAAAATTTGTGCACTGGGGCCAGTGGGGGGGGGGGGGTCCCTTAGCCTGGCCTGCGCCTTCTCACAGTCCAGGAGCCCTTGGGGGATGTCCCAACTGCCAAAGAGGCGGGAGAGGCTCCCGCCATCCATGAGCCTGGCTTCTGGCTGAGTGGCGCTCCCCCTGGGGAACACACTGACCACCAAGGGGCAGCTCCTGCATTGAGTGTCTGCCTTCTGGTGGTCAGTGCGTGTCATAGCAACTGGTTATTCTGCTGTTTGGTCAATTTGCATATTAGCCTTTTATTGTATAGGACTAGAAGCCCGATGCACAAAGATTCATGCTAAAATGGGCTTTCCTTTCCCTGGCTGCCAGCACTGCCTTTCCATGCTGTCCCAGCTCCTTTCCACTCAGGCCCCACCTTCCCACACACCTCAGAGGCCCCGAGAGACAGGGGTGGGGCAGAATGCCTGCATTGTCACCATGGTGATGACACAAGCGTCCTGCCCCCCCCTCACTTGGCACCTGTGTATGCAAATTAACCACCATCTTTGTTGGATTAATTTGCATGTCATTCCTGATTGGTCGGTGGTGTAGCGGAGGTATTGTCAATTTACATGTTTGTCTATTATTAGGTAAGATTATATTCATCTTGAGCATCTTGAAGGCATGGTCCATTTGATTCATCTCAGCATGATATTCCTCATAACTAACTATATATGCTTTGTCTTATATTTCAGTGGTTTAATATTTAGAAAATAACCCTTTATTAAACAGACAAAAAATTGAATTTGAAATATATAAATACACCTATATGTATGTATATTCTTATATTCATGTTGTTTACTAAAAAAAAAAAAAAAAAAAAAAAAAAAAAAAAATGTGCCAACCCCTTTGAGTGAAGAAATGCTCACCTCAGAATGTTATGTGGCAGTTATTGGTAAGCGACTCTGAGAACAGCTTAGTTCCAACAGGCAGAATACTTCCCCTCCCCGTTATGCAGCTGGTACTTACTGAGCATTCCACATGGGCCAGGCTTGCTTCTTTGCACTTGGGACACAGCCATGAAAAAGCCACTCCCTTTGCTCATGGAGCTCACATTCTAAGTTATCCAGCCTTTGAAACCCTGCACGTCAACCGTCACTACCCGCAGAGCAGTCTGCTCCAGAGGGAATGGGCATGCCAAGTGGCCTGGTGAATCAGTTATGACAGAAATTGAGACACACGCTGAAGTCAGCAGTTTGTATTAACCATGTAATGTCTTTCTTACTTCAGCCTCTGTTTCATTTTTAAGAACCAGAAATCTATCTCCTCTCTAAGGGCAGCTTATCATTGCTGTTCAAAATTATATTCCCCCAATAGAAAAATACTGACAGTATTTAAACTGGAAGCTGGAAGAACACCACAGGACATGCCTGATTCCTCTCAGGAAAAGCACGGAACTGCCTGAGATGAATAGAGTGGGACAAAGTAAATGTCTCACTTCAGTTCAGGAATAAATTATCTTTCTCATGGAAATGGAAATTAAGGTGGACCACAGAGCCTTTTCAGGTGCCTATGCCAGTGAGAGCAACCATAAGCAACAAAGCAATGACCAGTTTGTGCTCTAAGAGGGCGCTATAGAGAAGACTTCCTAGGAACTGGGCTATGGAGCCCGGTGAGTCCTGGCAATGCCAAAAAGAAAGGGGATGGAACACAGTTTCTGGCCCCCCTTTCGCCCCCCCACCCCCTTTCATGTGCCTCGCGGAGGAAGAACACGGGTAATTTTCCAAGCGCCTGTTTACTTTCACTTTATCTTGGTGTTGGGGAGGAGGAAACTTAAAAGGTCCACGTCACCGCAGTCCTGTGAGAAGCCATTACTGCTCCACTGAGCAGGAAAGGCATTGCAATGCCCCTTTCCCCCACATGCCTTCCCGCCGTGGCAGGCTGCACGTGGGGCCAAGGGGAGCCTACTGTCCTAAACATTGCATTAAATCTATTCTGATTTTTGTGCTTTTTTTGACAGAAACAACAAATATGCTAGCATTTCCAGCAGCCTTGCTTCTCAGGATTGAAGTTGGTGCTCCTTGAGGCACCCAAATAGCCCAGGTTTTATGCATTTTACAACTTCAAGCTCACTGCACAGCCTGAAACAGGGGCACCCCACAGAGGCTTGGTGGAAATTGTGGGCAGCCTGAATGGGGTCTACAGCCTGCTCTCTCTAATGCTCAGGAACTGCTTTGTGTGAAGTACTAGCAGGCTGCTAGAAAAAATTCAAGCATATATAGTGTGTAACCTATACAATATCTATTATAATGCCCTTTTAAAATTTTTCATTGATCGAATGATTTTAGAGAGAAAGGAAGGAAGGGAGGAAAATATCAATTCGTTGTAATATTTATGCATTCATTGGGTGATTGTTGTACCCTATATGTACCCTGACCAGGGATCAAACCCGAAACCTTGGTGTATCGGGATGATGCTTTAACCAATGGAGCCACCTGGCCAGGACATAATGCCTGCCTCCTTTTCCTTTTAACGCCAAGGTTCAGAGGTGTGCAGTGCTTTAAGTTGTCTGTCATCAACAGCAGGAAGTTCATCCTGCGGTTCACCGTCGCCAGCTACAGAGAATCATACAATCAATATGATCGATCACAACATTGTGTCGCACTGTCACATAGTTACCTCACTCAGTACTAAAATACTCCTGACTATACAGGGAACAAGCCTAGTTAAAGCTGGGGTTGGAGACACATTCTCTGACTGCTAATGGAGGGTTTCTGGCCCTTACAGGGACCCATAACCTGGGCTCCCAACACCAACTTCAAGCGAACCAGCACACTGGCTCTACTATTATGTTAGACCAAAGAAAAATCCCTCAACAATTATGTCGCCAGCACAAAATCAAATGACTAAAGGACAAAGCTGCTTCTTATTAAGAAAACAAATTCTACAAGAAGCCTGTGCATCAGAGTGCACTGAAGATTTT